TTCCAATTTTGTACCCTCTTGTTTCTCCATTTTGAACACTGTCTACAATGCCTTGATAAAGTTCAGCACGAATTTGTTTTTGATTATTACGAAAATAGTTTAATCTAGTAGTTTCAATTTTAACATACATATCTACAACATATTGTTGGAATAGTCTACCAGTATGAAGCAATACAAACTTACCGGGAGACCTGATTTACAATTTGTATTAATAGTATTTTTGACAAGAGACTTGAGATCGTTTCTTCGTTCCATTAAGCACTGCACCACGTAACAATAACATAATATGAGTATTCATATTCATTTTAACCAGTAAAATTGTAAACGGTCATTAATTTTACTACAAAATTCATCTACTAACCCACATCTTCTTTTTCAAGAAGTTTAGTTGCAGAATTCATTGTAATAGAAAGAGTGATACGGTTGGGCAAATGTGTAGGTGGAGAACATGTGTTTTTATTTCTCTTAATACCTTCATGCCAACCAGATTCTTCATATGTAAAGATCAAATGATATTGTAAATGATCATTACAACCATAGTAATAGTGAACTTTGTGCGATTCACTAGAGTGACCATATATAGTAATATCACGAGCACGAACATTTGCATTTTCATCATCTTCGACCCATACAACAGCTACTTGAGAAGTTGTAGAAGTATTAAAAACTCTTTGTTCAACTACTGGATCGCATCTTATTTGTATCCGATGGTGTTGCTGAAGAATCTACTATATGGATTTACGTTTAGAATTTGTATTAAAACAATTAAAGTAGATTCAACAAAGTTCTCTAAAATTTTCATACAATTTTGAAGCTCATTATCTGTATCATAAAAATATAACTGCATATAAGAAAGTATATTATTTTTCGGCATAAGTTGGTTTACATAATGATACACTTGTCCATGTACCCTAAATGTGTAAATACCTCTGTATGTTTTAAAAAGTCCTTTATCATATTTTACACCAAACGAAGTGAATGCAAAGTGGTTATTATATCCCCTGACGAATTTTTTAAATTCTATACATATAGATTATGTAGAAGTAAATAAGGCATACAGTTCAGTTGGTGATTCGGGTAAAAAAAAGCTTAACTTTTCCTACAAAACAACAGAAACCTTTACTTTCCTTAAAAAAATTCCATGCACCACAATATNTCAAGTAACGAAATTGTAAAATTCAATGCAATAGTAATAAACATTGAAGTCGTTGCCTCAAATATTGATGAAATGAAATCTAAAGAAAATTATAAACATTTTTTATATGCTACTATAACAAGTAAAGGCTAATTGAACATTATTAAATGAAGCGAAATTTCTAGGAAAGAAGAAATTCTTACCTTTTCACCCAAGCAAAACGAAGAGCAAAAAATTTCAGAGATGGATAGCAGTCAGACCTTGCACAATGTTAAAGACGAAAATCAGATTAAAGTAAAAATACGTACAAAGAGTTGGAGACAATTTTTTATTTTACTAATGAAAATAGTAAAATCCATCTCACTGTCTCAAAAATAGTATGAAATCAGGTCTGAGAAATCAAAAGTGAAAAGCATGATGTTTTAGGCTCATAAATAAATGTACTACATAAACTTATAATTAAAAATTTGGATAGTTCAATTGGATGAACTTACCCAAGATATAGTGCACTACTGTAGTCAGTTACAACCACCAGGAAATACAATTGGACACTATATACAAGAGAAGAATAAATACAAATTAGAGTCCACAATTTGTCAATAATAGTTGAATGATAAGTATTATAATAGAAACTTTAGGAAAAAAGATAGAGCCTAATTAAAAATTAAACTCTAACAAATCTAAAAAAGAAGAACAAAAATATCATACTTGAAGATAGTACAGTTCAATTGATGTTGAAAATTTTATTATTTTTACTTTGAGAATGATATCTTACAACCTAAAACAAAATTGAAAACAAATCTAATATTGACAAATCAGGAAATCATTAAAATTATGACAAACTAAAGGAAATCATAATAAAACATACATACAGTAAAACTAAAGTTTAAAATATCAAATTTTGTGAACAATGACTGAAAATATACTTCAAAATGAAAGAGAAGTAGTATGTATAAAGAAAACTCAAGAACTAACAATTTATTACAAATTTTATAAAAACTAAAATAAATATACTACATAAATCTATAAACTAAAATCAGGATAGTTCAATTAGAGGAACTTATCGAAGATAGAGTGTACTACTGTAATCAATTACAACTGCCGAAAAATACAATTGGACACTATATACAAAAAAACAATAAATACAAATTAGAATCCACAATTTGTCAATAGTAGTTGAATGATACATACTAAATAAAAAATTTAGGGAAAAAAAATACAAAAATTAACTAAAAATTGAACTCTACAAAATTTATAAAAGAATAACAAAAATATCATACCTGAAAATAACACGGTTTAATCGATGTTGAAAATTTTAATATTTTTACTTTAAAAATGATATCTTGCAACCTAATAAAAAATTGGAAACAAGTTCAATATTGACAAAATGAGGAATGACTAAAAATATGACAAGTAAAGAAAATCATAATAAAAATAAAAAATCGAAGTATATGAAGTAAATTGAAATAAGTTACATATTTGTTTACCAAATTGACAAGTGGCACCTCTTGAGGGACTTGGGGGTCGAGGTGGCAGCGCCCCCCTTGTGAGGGTTCGGGGGCAATGCCCCCAACAGAGATAGACCTGTCCGGTTAAGTCGCGGGGGTCGAGGGGACATCGACCTCGACGGGGATCGTATGTGTTGAAGAGTTTATCTGTTGGAAGTAATTTTTTTTAACAAATACCAAAGATGATGAAAGGAGGAAAAAATAATATTTTTAATGGTCAAGTTAATAATATATAATAAAAAAAACTGCTCTGTGGTGTTCGCATTGTTCATTCTTCTGATCCCGTGTTCACACTCGAAACCAGATTGTTATTGTTCACTAAATATCTGTGGATGAAAACGACGTCGTATGAAAAATATCTCCCATATATATATATGTGTGTGTGCGCGCGCGCGCGTGTGTGTTGTGTGTGTTTTGAAAAGCTCATACTATCTACCCATAAATTGAGAATGAAACCGACTTATAAATCTCTTCTTCTTGCTCTTCTTTGTCTTTGACGTATTTGCTGTTTACCGTGATTAATTCTTTGTCTTCAACATATTTACTGATTATCATTATTGATATTAAAGGGCATATTTCTACTTATTGTTGTTTTATTTTTGCTTTTTCATTTCATTTTTTCTGCAATCTGTAATCTGCTTCCAATTTTTTCGTTTTTGTTTAATTTTATGTTTTCGTCCTTCCCTCTTGCGTTAGTTATACACAAATCTTTCAGGAGAATTTTGTTCTGTATTGTCTATGGTATTGTTAAAAGGTAAGCTTAAATTTTATTTTCTTGCCTGACACTATGTTGTCTCAAAATTTTATACACGAAATGATAAAAAGTTACAGAGAGTAATGAAAGAAAAGAAGAGATAAGAAGAAAGAAAAAGAAAGGTTTAGAGACAAAGAGAGACGTTAAAAACAAAATAAAAAACAAAAATAAAGAAGACGACATATGAAGGAAAATGAAATATTAGAAATTTNGCCCCTGTTGGAAATAATTTTTTTAACAAATACCAAAGATGATGAAATGTGGAAAAAATAATATTTTTAATGGCCGTGTTAATAATATAAATAAAATAAAAAAACTGCTCCGCACATCACGGAACAAGTGCTCGGTGGTGTCTGCACACCGACATCTTATTTTATTATTATTATTTTTATATATTAATAATCTGCAATAAAATGAGAATTGTTATACGATTTTACTTTAGATTATATTATTCTAAGAGTAAAGATAAATTGTTCGAATCTTCAAAATTTCTAATATTTCATTTTCCTTCATATGTCGTCTTCTTTATTTTTGTCTTTTATTTTGTTTTTAACGTCTCTCTTTGTCTCTAAACCTTTCTTTTTTCTTTCTTCATATCTCTTCTCTAGATTTCTCTCTACTCTTCTTTCACCGCTCTCTGCAACTTTTTATCATCTCGTGTATAAAATTTTAAGCCTACATAGTATCAGGCAAGAAAATAATTTTGAAGTTTACCTTTTAACAATACCATAGACAATACAGAACAAAGCCCTCCTGAAAAGATTTGTGTATAACTAACGCAACAGGAAAGGACAAAAACATAAAATTAAACAAAAACGAAAAAATCGGAAGCAGGTTGTAGAAAAAAAATGAAATGAAAAAGCAAAAATAAAACAACAATGAGTAGAAATCTACCTTTAATATCAATAACGATAATCAGCAAATACGTCGAAGACAAAGAATTAATCACGGTAAACAGCAAATACGTCGAAGACAAAGAAGATCAAGAAGAAGAGATTTATAAGTCGATTTCGTTATCAATTTATGGGTAGGTAGTATGAGCTTTTCAAAACACACACATATATATGGAAGATATTTTTTCATACAGCGTCGTTTTCATCCACATATATTTAGTGAACAGTAACAATCCAGTTTTGAGTGTGAACACGGGGTCCGAAAAATGAACAGTGAAGTTTTATTCCCGCAATGATATTTAGTGAACAGTAACAATCCGATTTTGAGTGTGAACACGGGCTCAGAAAAATGAACGGTGAAGTTTTATTCCCTCTTTTATATGCCTCTATGAAGGCAATGATTACTGTTGTATTTTTACATCTCTTTGCTCGTATATTTGTATTTATTTAAATAAAGGTTTCAATAAACTGGTGAAGAGACGTAATTAGAAATTATCACTCAACTGTCAAAAGTTGACAATCAAAATTCATTGACAAATAAATGACGATAGTTGTTGAAAATAACAGTTTAGCTTTGTTTGATTTAGATAAGATTAAATTTTATAGATTTTGATAAAAATTGTGATTCTTATTATAGGGTTAAAAATGAGTTTGAGGAAAATTAATTTTTATAAAAAAAAAAATTTTAAAATAGGGTTAAGCGGGGGCTCAAGCGTCCCGCACATCATGGGATACGTTCTATTCAATAAATTGATTCAATCAAAAGCTAATGTGCACTTGTTTGGCCCCCATTAAATTTTTTCACTTTCTTAATTTTAGCTACACATTCTCCAAATAAAATAATATTGCACACAAATCTAAAAAATTTCATTATTTTTCAACCACATATTATCCAATCAATCACTGTTTCAAAATTTATAAATTCTCCAAAATGGTGGCCAAACAATGACGTAGTAGAATTTGTGGCCAATCAATATATATATATATATTCCCTTTTTTGTGACAATTGCTCTCATAAATATTATTTTAGACTTTCGATGAGTGAAATTAACATTTTTCTTTTCTTTCCCAAATAAGGTTAAGATGTGAATTTTGAACAAAGTTCTATTGGATATACTTTACGGTGAAAACCATCAAGACTTTAAAGAATAACATAGATATAAATGAAATGCTTAGATTATTATATAACGTTACAATAAATTAAATTAAATAAGAATAAACGTTATAGATAACATTGAGTGAATTAAAAAAATGAATATGTATAGGGAGTAGTGTTCTAAAAAGCGGTGAAACACCTCGTCCGACAGTAAGTATGAAATTAAGTGAGTTGACCGCTTAATGCGCGCCTTAAGCGGCTTTATTAATTTTTTAGAAGCTTTTATTTGACTTTCATTTCAAGTTTTTAATTTAAAAATTGAATAATTGTATGAATTATTAAGTAAACGTATTATTTTATAATTGCAGATGATTGGTATTTATTATTTTAATTATTTAATAATTTTTGAAATGATTAAAAAATTTAAAAAATTAAAATAATACTAAAAATAAGAAGACATATTTTTACACTTAGGCCTCACCTAGACTCGTAAATCTTGAAACTCGTCCTCCATGCTTTATACTCTTTGGAACTTTGATCGTAGAGATGATAACTCTAGATGGTTAAGATATATTTTACATGGAGCTCAAGAAAATGCTATTCATAAGAACGTTAAGACATCGGTGAGAAAATCGATAAAATTTAGAAGTTTTCAACTTAAAAGTTTTAATTTTACCCATTTCAACAACAATAGTTTAGTAATCGTGTTCAAGATCGAAACTTTGACTTGTTCTTTTGTAAACACTAAATTTTTTACTATTCTTATATTTTTTAGGTTGGGCATGTCTTTTCCATTTTATGTTTTCCCTTATTTAGTTATTTTATTAATTAAAAATAAAGATAAAATTAAAATTTTCATTCAAAGATATGGTAAATCGTAGATTGGGATCCAACTGCTACAAAAATTAAAGGCTGGAGATCAGGATCGTAAAAGGAAATATAACGGAAGCCTACCCGCCACATTTATAATAGGTTGGTGACTTGGATGTAATTTTTAGAGGTTTTTTATGGAGAAGACAAGAAAATGGTGCTATCATCTATCATTTAATGTCATATTAGCGTCACATAAACTGATATTATAACCTCACTAAAATTAAATAACACTACTCATTTATTTATGGGCATGTTCGAGCCTTGGTATTTGCTTAAAATGTATTTTGAAATAATATTTTAGCGAATAATCCGTGGTTTGAAAATAATGAAAAATTTTGGATTTATGTATAATATTATTTTGTTGAAAAGTGTGTGATTGAAATTTGAAAATAAGAAAAAGAAAAATATATTTTGAAAATAATGAGGACCGAACAAGAGAATATTCTTATATTTACATCACTATTTTTATTTCTTGTATTATATTTTAATTGCACTTGAAGTTTTTAATTTTTACTTATTATAGCACTCATGTTCTTACGATTTCATATTATTCATATCCTCAAACTTTACATTAATTAACACATTTTGTGTTTAATAATAATTTTATATTTAAAAGTCCGTTGAAATGATGAAACAACTTATTTTTCTATCATATTTTTAAAAGATAAATAAATAAAAAGTACGAAAATATATTTTCACTTGTTTCAAAGCATGAAAATAAAATATTTTAATATAAATCACTATTAAGGACGAGACGTACTAATTAGTGGAAGGTTAATTATAATAATTCAATATAAAAATATTAAAAATAATTGTTACAATGAGCAAAGATTGATGAGCTTATCTACAATTAAAATATTGTGTAACAAATAAAAAATTGTGATATCAATATAATTACATTTTATCAAATCTATAGACATAATAAAAACTGTTCATTTTCGAAGTAGTGAAAGAACCTTACTTATTATTCTTTGTAACAGTCATACATTTATAGAATCATTCTTACGATTTTCTCTGTCAGTCAGTGTCGGAGTGGGGGAAGTTTTTACAATCATGCTACATATATATCTTGTTTTACACCATTTTTACACCGTGTCACATGTCGGGCCATGATTGGACAGTTAAAAAAAACACACACTTTTCCGCCTAACACTTTTTGAATTCTCACGCAATGTCGAGAAAGAGGGTTAAATCCACCAATGACCACAAAACTTTATATTTAATGTAAGCATGACCAGTCAATTTGATTTTGTTTCATCGTGCTCGCCCAACTTTATACTTAGTGTTACCGTAACCACTCAATTTGATTTTATTTCACCATAGCCACCCAATTTCATATAACGTTTCACCACGACCACCTCATTTCATATAACATTTCACCATGCCCACTTAATTTATTTTCACAAATTTCACTAATATTAAAAGGGTAAAACGGTAATTTTGTATTATATATATAAAATTATTTAAAAAAAACAAAAATATATTTTTTTAAAATTTTAAAAACTTTTTTAAAATATGTTTTTATTTTATTTTATTAAGGACTTTTTTAAAATAACTTTTTATTTTATTTTAAAAACGTTTTTTAAAAAAGTTTTTATTATTATTTTTTTAAGAACATTATTTTTAATTTTATTTTATTTTTTAAAATAACGTTTTTAAATAAGTTTTTATTTTATTTTTTAAAAATAAATTCTTATTTTATTTTTTTAAATTTATTTTATATATAATGCAATTTATCATTTTACCTCTTTTAACATTATACAAAATTGGATGTGTGAAACAAAATCAAATTGGGTGGTCAATGTGATACTAAGTATAAAGTTGGGTAGTTATGGTAAAATAAAATTAAATTAGATGGCCATAATAACATTAAGTATAAAGTTGTATGCAATTGATAGATTTAATTATTTCTATACCTTTTATTTATGAGAAATGTTATTCATCTCCAGTGGGGATGAAAACACAGTTTATGTGATTTTAAATGATAGGTTAAATGAAATATAAAATTAAATGACTTATTTAATTTCACCTGTCATTTAATGTCACATTAATGCCACGTAAATTGTGTTTTCATCCTCAGTTGGGAATGGGGATGAATATCATTACTCTTTGTTTATTCAGTGGTGCTACACGTACAGATGGAAAAACCAACAAAAATGAGCCAGAATACTCACACCATGTGGGGCCGTGCTTTTTTATTTTTTTTAAATACATAGTGAGACCCACCCCATTGTGAGTTTTCTAGTGCATTTATGTGGTGTGGTTTCTATACAAATGGAAAAATACTTGTTTACATGTAGTCATGTAGAGTTATTCCTCAAGTAGAGGGAATAACTCACAGAATTTGTAAGCAACATCCTGTGCATCTGTGTTGTCCATTTCAAATTTCTGAGCCAATTTCCTGTACCCGTGGATTCTTATAAGTATCGTGCCAAATCTGTAGTCAAAAGGATCCCAAAAATATCTTCTCAGCATCTCTCTCTCTCTCTCTCTCTCTCTCTCACAAGTCTCTGGCATAACTCGTAAACTCATTTCGTCGCTTGGCAAAAGATAATTCGTTTTCCACTTCAATTAAATGCGCTGAAAAGACGTGGAAAATTCACTAAATATATACACATCATATAAATATATATGTAAATAATTTAATTTCTTGGTCTTCCCTTGGCGGTGCCTTGTCTCTTCCATTTCAGGTGTTCATTTCTTTTAATCGCTTTACACATATAAAAATTATTAGTGCACGCCCGCGATAAATTATGATTTTGATGTCAATTCTTGATACCTAGTGTTGATATGACGATTCTATGCTTACATTATGTTTAATGTTTGATGGGTAGGTCAGATAATGGATAGAAATCAAGGAAATTGTGGTGAAACGCAATCTTTTTGCGGATCAAAAGAGAATGAAAGGGCGGGTTCTTCATTAAAGGGAAGGGAAGGGAAACGAGTGTGGAAGAAAGCGAAGTACCAACTGGTGGAATACAATTCATTACCTGAGTATTTGAAGGACAACGAATATATCCTTGGTCATTATAGGTCTGAATGGCCGTTAAGGCAGGTTTTGCTAAGTGTTTTCACTATTCATAACGAGACTCTCAATGTTTGGACGTAAGGATTTCTGCTTCTTTGCATCTTTTCTTGTTTATTTTCTGGAAAAAAAAATGTTGCTTTTATCATCTTGGTGATTTTTGTCATACGACATTGGAACTTTTATTGCAATTTTGAATGTTATTGAGTTCTATTTGCCGTTTAATGAAAATTGGGTTGTTTCGTTATTTCATAATAGTTTATAATAGAGTTGATAGTGTAGAAATTTTAATTTTGGGGAAGCCAATAGACAAAGAGTGCCATATATGCATTCCTGGTCTAAAAAGAAGTCACCTAGGAAAAAAGAGGTTTAAAAAAATAAAGTTATGCATAATGAATATCCAAGTTAAAGTTATTTACAAGCTTTGATGGTCAGTTAGTTGGATTGCGAGGAACTTAAATTAGATGATCCAAAATGTAGACTTATTGATATAGCATTTGTTTGAGACTTTGAGGTGAAAGGTGCTAACTAGGAACCAAGAGCAACTGATTAGGATTTGGTTAGGTAAAGGAGGGTTAATACAAAAACAGCAGGAACTAGGGCTTGAGGTTTATGGAAAAATATCCATAGGTTTTGAATGTTCTGGGTGGTTGGAGTACTGTTGATGATGTAAGAATTAAAGACTGGCCTACGATTCATATTTGACTCCGACGGACCTGCGGAAGAAATTTCCAATAAAGAGATTATTGGAGGGGATAGGCTTAAAGATTTCTGGTCAAACTCTATTTTCACCACCTATCTTTTTTAGCTCAACATAGTTATGTACTCTACTTCTATCCCTTGAAACTGTTCCTCAAAAATCAGACAAGACACATCATTCACGAGACTGTAATTCCTCGACAATATCTTGAAGGATTAGATTGACACAAACTGTGGTATGCTGGGTATGGAGATCAGTACAGATTGTAACATTTCCTTCTTTCCTTTTGGATGGTGGTTTGGGAATTGGGGAGGCGATTGTAATAGTGCTGTGGCTATGCGTATGTCAAGTGATAAGTTATGCCTTTCCCTAGATGAGGGTTGAAAAAAATTGGTTTAAAAGAAAAAAACTAATGGCAGGGTGGTGGTTTTGTTGAATTTTGAGCGCAATGTAGATTTAATTATAGGTAGCCAAACAATCAAAAGTCATTGGAGATAGCACACGTCTTGTATAATCTCACTCTTAACCAATTCTTTTCTACCCTATTTACCCTTTTATGCAATTGTTTCTTCTTTGAACCAAGTAGTTTGACATCTATAACTTAACCCATATTTTTTCTTTTTAAAACTAATGTGATTACCATATGTTCAACATGTCTGGTTAAAGACAGTTTTCTATGTTCATTATGTGAAGTGCTGTTAAGGTTTCACACGTTTTTGGGAGTGTTATCTTAGTGTCCAACATGTGCACCCTCATGTTTGGAGTGTGTTCTTGCCGCTCTAGGTGCGTTCTAGCTTGCAATAGTGTGTGTGCTTCCTTGTTTTGGTGGGATTGCTTTTGTACATTGGAGTTTTCTACGTCAGTTCACGGACTCTTCTTTGATTATTCCTAATTTTCGTTTGTGGACAACAAATTGTCCCTTACTCTTTCAACTTTTCCTGAAAGTTGTACAAGAATTAACTATATCAGATGGGTTTAAATGGTGATTTTGTACACATCTAGTTATGCTATTTTAATGCTTTCGATATACTGCGTGATGTCACTATGAGCAGGTCATTTTCTTGCAACTTTGTCAAGGAGATGGAAATTCAACTCATTCATGTACAATCAGTAAAATAAAAATTATTTTTTTGGTTGTATTAGATCATAGTCAAAGTACTTTTGTGTTCTTTTCAATTTATGCTTCAGTTTCATTCTTTCATGCGATTAAGAAAATTATTGAGGCAGACTTTCGGCCTGGAGTGGAGTCATTCCTGAGAGCCCTATGAANTTACGGGTTTTTTTGATGGAACTGAGGCTGCCCCTCCAGAGAAAGTTGAACGATCCACAGCAGGTGACGAAAGTCTCTTATCTCTTTTGTTCCTAATCCGGCATGGTTACGGAAGGATCAAATGGTTGTGTCGTGGCTAAATACCACCCTTTCTGAAGAGATTCTTGCCAAGATCATTGATCTCCCTTCAGCGCATGCCATATGAACATATCTGAGGAATGCCTTTTTTTGGAAGAAGTAGAGCAAGAACTAAAAGTCGAATTACTTATGTGCAAGAGAGTTACAGCTTCCATAACCGACTACTTGAATCGTTTCAAAGCTATTTGTGAGCTGTTGGCTGCTATTCAGATATCTCTTTTAGATGATGATAAAGTAATGTATATCTTGGACGGACTGGATATGGTCTTTGTCAGAAGAGTTCTTGTAGGAGGAAGCTCGCTAGAAAGCATTCAATATTATTAAGAAATACTGGTTAATGAAGTTGACACATAACAGATTGACATGATTTCTTATTTTTTTGGGTTTCTTTTCCATGGCGTAGAAGTCATAAGAACTACATTTCCCCTAAAACAGGGATATATTGTTACTTGGGACACTTGATGAGTATGGAATGCGGTTTTTTGAATTGAGGGATATGTGGTTTTAACTTGTTATTACTTTCTGCCGTCGATGTTCTGCTGATGGTGGTGTCGCGACATTTGTTTTTCTGTATATGTGATTAGGTCTTCATTTGAATTCCTATTTCATTCTATTTGCAGGCATTTGATAGGGTTCTTCTTCTTCCTCTCTCTGACTATTTACACTGCTATGAAGATTCCAAAGGTTGTTGACCTTCCAACCCTGCAACATTTCCCTGATGTGCTGAGGAAAGCTGATTTCCACAAATTGCGTACAGAACTTATTGATTGTCTTCCGTCCTTGCCACATATGCCTGGTTTGCACAGACTTTTAGAGGAGTTAAAGACTTCGCTGCCTTGTATGGATATGCCATCATTATCTAATTGGCATATTGTGGAACTCCTCTCTAACTGTTTGCCGGAGCGATTCTCGAGCAACCACACTGATGCTTCCGTTCTGGTACTTTTGCATAATAATGCTTTCCTGTTTAACACTATCACAGTCTTTTATTATGATGTGAGACAAAGAGCATATATTAATCACAATGTAGTGATGAACACTAAATTGGCTTCACTACTTGACATTACACATTAGCAATGCCGTATCTTTTGTATCGTCAAGACGTCAACGGTAGCTGTTCTGTCTTCTCTCCCTGCATTTCGTATCTAGTTCTGCTGTACATTTTGAGTGTTTCTATGTTGATCTGTTGAAGGCTGCTCATGCCTGTGAACTTTCCGTTGTCTAATTCTTTTTTTTTTTCCTTAATCAAGTTAAAATTTATCCAGCAGCTTTTTAGTGCAAAGTTGCTACTTCTTATTCTCATATCAGAATTTTATTGAAAAGTGACATACAATTAATTACATATGTGCATTCTACCAAAGAAAGATTGATGTAACTCAATGTGATTATCAAAACATCTGCATTTCTCTCTTGGCTTTCAGCCGTGTTTCCCTGAAACATTTTATTTTCTGTTTTTGTGTTCTTTCTTTTAGTAGGCTCGTTATAATCCTGACCGGTAGATAAATTGTATTAGTTCAATTGTCAGTTAACCAGGTACAAATTAGATGGTTGTGTCATGTCTTGGTGTAGACTTAAGGAAGCACCCCTTCAAAAAAGCGGTGCAATAGAAAAATTGGAAGAGGGAGAAGAAAATTCATAATCTTAATGAACATTTTAGTAGATGATTAGATGTATCATTAATGAAGCTGTACCAAAACATTCATATTGTCAATCAACGTTGACTAGTAGTATGACTTATCTTGATTTTAACATCTATTAACGAGTAATTTCTGCATTTGCATAATTGCACGTATGAATTTGTGTTTTCTCATTAAGCCTTCGTTTGGGAACCAATTTATAAATGGTTTGTAAATTCCACCAAAGTGAAACAGTAATTTCAACCACATTTATAATTACTATTGATTTATCATCCACACTATTACCATTACAATTACCATTCCTCCTTATAAACCATTTATAAATTTGCCAAACGGAGGCTAAATTGAAATTTTGAAGTTTGCATGCACAAGCTAGTGACTACTTTTGGTGTGGAATTGTGAGTTCTGTGCTGATTCGAAGTGGTAAAGATGAGCATTTATGTAAAACTTCATGTCATGGGGGATAACTCAAGATTTGATCTTACACCCAACATGGTGAATGCAAGAAATTCTAGATTCTCTCGGCTTATGGGTGGTAGGCATTGGATTGGCGGTTTGAATAAGGCCTCAGTTGTTGGAGTAACATTGATTATACTTAATTTTTAGCTCCAGAAGAATTTTCATTACATGAGATTGTTCAAGAGTTTTATTTTTCAATTTCAGGTATTTTTAATCTCAGACGCAAGTCACACATGGAAATTTTATTCCTATTTCTTTACTTTAGAAGAGAAAGGGAACAACAATTTGCTCCATTATTTTTTCGTTCTCTTGTGCAGCTGTATTCTTCATCTCTTTTAACATTGGAGAAAGAACGTATCTTGTTAACATATTTTACATGGTTTAATTGTTTGCAGCATAGCATGAAGGAGGATGTGGGAAATATAATAGCACCATTGATGGTGAGTCCAATCACGCGTTGGCCCTTCTTCGCCTTTCTGGGTGGAGCCATGTTTTGCTTGTTAGCAAGCAGTACATGCCACTTACTCTCTTGTCATTCTGAGCGCATATCTTACATCATGCTCAGGCTTGACTATGCCGGGATTGCTGCTTTGATCTCAACGTCCTTTTATCCTCCAGTCTATTATTCTTTCATGTGCTATCCCGTCCTCTGCGGTCTCTACATAGGATTCATTACTCTCCTGGGCCTTTGTACAATCTTAGCATCCCTTCTTCCCGTATTCCAAACTCCTGAATATCGTAGTTTTCGAGCAGCACTCTTCTTCGGAATGGGCGTGTCAGGTGCAGTACCTATTCTGCACAAACTCATCTTATTCTGGCACCAACCCGAGGCACTCCACACAACAGGGTATGAAGTTTTGATGGGAGCATTATATGGTATTGGAGCATTGGTTTATGCTATGAGAGTTCCTGAGAGGTGGATACCGGGAAAATTTGATATTGCAGGGCACAGCCACCAACTTTTTCACATCCTTGTGGTAGCCGGAGCTTATACTCATTACCGTGCAGGACTGATTTATCTCCGGTGGCGGGACATGCAAGGGTGCTAGAATTAATTAGAGTATGGGGATGCCATGTCTTGGTGTATTAGTGTCAGTTGATGGGGTACATAAATGCAGTGGGGAAGGTGCTTCCCCCCCTATCTGTAATCTTTCAAACTTACTTTAATGGTTTAGTTAAATTGCCCAATGTTTTGGCCTACAACAATTCTGGACCGGACATTGGTAACAGGTTGGGCCTTGCACTTTCTTATCTCTATTAATTACTTGGCCACTATGTGTACAGTCTTTCCAGTTCTAGTTAGGTAAACTGCAGGTAGCCATGTGCAAGTCGAACTGGGCCCCTCATTAAATTTATAATATTTTTTTTCTCTTTTATTTTTAACCACACATTCTCCAATAAATAATATTACACATAAATAAAAAAAATTCCTTTTTTTCCAATTACACATTCCCCAAAAAAACATTATTCCAAAAATTATAGCATCAAATAGTATGGGTCAAACGGGGTTTTAAGTACCACTATTTTACGCGCCTTTATGGTGGAAAGTGAACAGTAGTAGAAAAAAAAACTTAAAATTTGTGATATATTACTCTCTTGGTTTTTAAATAAAAGTATTATTGTATTCGAGTTTAAACAATATTGGAAGATCACATGACAGGGTCCCCTCCCCAGTGTTTTTTTTGAACAGTGAACTGTCACTATATATACTGAATTATAGAAAGAGGGCCTAACTCACTGGAATCTAGTGAAGTGAATGCATGGTAATGGATCTATCAAACCCACGTTCTTTCTGACCTTGTTTTGGGCCGTATTGGCAGAGGAGCGAAATGGAAATTTAAATTATAGCATAGTGATTTTCCTTGTGATGATTAGTTAAGTCATTCAATAATTACTATAACTGAGTTGGGTCTTGTTTATTAGATCACGTGCTGATCGAATTCATTCAAATGAACGATGATAAAAACTGAAATCTCGTTAATGACTAATGTAAGAATGTAAAATTACTGTTTCAACGGTGGTAAGACAGTAAACGATGAATTAGCCTAGTCTCTTGTTGATCCTTATGAATAGCGACAAGGAAAGGTTGAGAAAGTTACTTTCCTCGAAAAACTAAGACTCCACTTCAGTGAGTTTAGTTGGTGTAATCCCTTCTTTTGCTCTGGTCTTCACTTGGATTATCATTTGTATGTTTCCCCACATTTGAATACACACGTACATCTTGTTTACTAAACTATTAGATTCACCGTGCATATATTAAAACGGGCAGTTGTCATCAAGGAGGAGACAAGCCATTTATGATTCCAAACAGTGTAATCGAGAATGAATATATGCTTCCCTTAGTTCCTCAATTCATTTTGTAGCGCGAAATTCATTGTTTTAGTGTCCATGTAGCGTCTAAGTCACCAACACGAGGAAGAGAAGAAATAGAGTATCCACAATGGTTCCTCCTTAGTGGAAGAAAACTATGAAGAAATGAAGGAAGATCAAGTCGAAAGCTAACGCTTACCTCAAAAGCCCCAAAAAGATACTTACTTAAAAATCGTTAATTGTATGTATAGAAAAATAATGTAACAAGAAAGATTATGAGCAAAATCGACATGTTGGTAAAGTTAAAGTTTAGACGAAGGGTCATAATTCAATCCAACAATTTGAATATGTATGGTTGCCAATTTCACATCATCTAAGACGATAATTCATCTTCTCATAATACTGATTAGATTAATTGATTAGATAATGTGTATCTAAAAATATATTAAGTGCTCTTAAAATATTCATCTTGTTAATCATTGAAATCGGACAAAGATATCTTGTCGTCTTATTCCAAATTAAAACTATTAATCTAAGCTCAAGTTGATAAGATGTGATTAAAATAAATATCTGGTTACTATTAGCAGTCTACAAATAGTATCAAACCCACCTTTCTTAAATTGAAATTTGCATCATATTTAATTATACTCTTTATTTTATACTTTTTGGGATATTGAGATTAGATAATTACTTTAATAAATTACGACACTGGACTAGCATATTGGTCGCTTTCAGTTTGAAATGTCCACCTGTAGCATAGGGTCATTGTAGGCTTGACAAATGTCAAAGCATCCATCAAATATAAAATAATTAAGCCCCCGTTTGGCCCCCATTTTTTCCCATTACATTACGTTAATTTTCTCTCTTCGTTTCAATCACACATTTATCAAATAAAATAATATTACACACAAATCTAAAATTTTTCATTACTTTTCTACCACACATTCTCCCATCAATCATTATTTCAAAAAATTTCAACACCCCAAAATGGGGGCCAAACAGGGGCTAACAAGGATCTGTCTATTTTGTGACTATTAAGATTTTGTCCCTGTTTGACACACATTATTTTTTCATTCTCATTTTTCTACTTATTTTCAATCACACATGCTTCAATAAAATAATATTTTTCATCATATCAATAATTATTCATTCTTTTTCAACCACATATTCCATATCACATCACTTCAAAAAAATGTATTCTCTCATTTTAATATACACTGAATACGAATTATTTAATTTAGCCGACGAGTAAGCGAAAATCAATTTTATATAAAATTCTTTTACTAACACCAAAAGTATTTAACATGTCAAGAAATGTTAAGAAATTGACAACCATCCGACTGAATATAATATTCACCTAACATCAAAAAAACTATACAACAAATTCAATACTTTGACCGTCCATTTAACTTGTTCCAAATTACATCTACGTGCTTTTAATTAGGTTAGAATAGATGAAGTCGATCTCGGATGGACAAGGACTTAAGACTAATCTCAAAATATAGTCCTCGTTTGGCCTCCATTATTTTTTATTAAATTATAATTCATTTTTCTTTCTTCTTATCAATCGCACATTTTTGAATAAAATATTATTACACATAAACTCAAAATTTTTTCTTTCTTTGTTCATCACACATTTTTCAAAAAATTATTATTCCTCGCATTATAATTTGGAATAATAGGGCCAAAAGGGTGGATAATTATTTTATTATATATTTTTCAAACACTATTTAATGAATTGAAATTTTAATAATTTATGAAAGTTTATGTACAGCAAAACACTAACAAGAATGAGACCGTAGAAAACGCAGCAAATGCCGACAATTGCACGGAATAAACGGCACTACTTTCACACCACCCAAAGATAAAGCGGAAACATAATTACTAATGGTGTCGGTGCACAATCAACGTGTCCACTAATCACTTAGCCCAACCCAAGCCCATCGGGCCCAACTACCCGTATTTTATTACCCCTTTTCTCACGAAATAAACCTCAACCACCGCCAGCCATTAACCGGTGGTGAAATCAAATCTCCCATGTCGTGTTTATTGTGTTTGCTTCTCATCCAAATCTCATTTCGTCATTAAAGGTCCATTTTTTCAAACCCACCAGTTAGAAATTCTAAGCTATTTTGGGAGTTTTCTCTTTTCTCCAGATTCAGCCAATTCTTCTACTGAATTTATGTGTGAAAGATACATTTCCAGATGTATGTAACGCTGCGCTACTAGACGAAATTCACCGCAACGACGTGTTTATAGCGCATTAAGCCAAGTTTTTTTTTAATAAAATGGTGTCACCAGAGCAGTCCCAGTATCAAAATTTCTCAATGGCCAAGCACGGTGGTCGGAGCAAAAATACTTCCTTTTCTGACACTCTTCTTTTCGCCGGCGGAGCTCTGGTGGTTTTTTTGGTCGTTTGGGCTTTCTGGTCCTTTTTCAGTCCAATCCCAACTTCAGCTCCTAGTTTCTCTTACGACTCATTTACCGAACGTAAATCGGCAGGTTTAGAGAGTCTATCCGCCTCAACTTTGAATAGCTGCGCCGATGGTGCTTCGGGTTTTGACATGGTCCATGACCCACCCGACCCGAATTTTTACGACGACCGGAAGTTGAGCTACAGTATAGATGCTCCGCCCGTTAAGAACTGGGATGAAAAAAGAATGGAATGGCTTAAGCAACACCCGTCATTCGCCGCCGGAGTAGAAAATCGGATTCTAATGGTCACTGGCTCCCAAGCCACGCCGTGTAAGAATCCCATCGGCGATTATTTGCTGTTGAAACTCTTCAAGAACAAGGTTGATTACTGCAGACGCCATGGAATTGAAATTTTCTACAACAATGTGCTGTTCCAACCCAAGATGTTTTCATTTTGGGCCAAAACGCCCACTGTTAAGGCTGCAATGCTGGCCCACCCGGAGGCTGAGTGGATCTGGTGGGTGGATTCCGATGCCGCCTTGACCGACATGGACTTCAAGCTTCCACTAGGCCGGTACAAGGCCCATAATCTAGTGATCCATGGATGGCCCAAGTTGATCTACGAGAAGAATAGCTGGACTAGCATCAATGCAGGTGTGTTCTTGATTAGAAATTGCCAATGGGCCATGGACTTCATGGATGTGTGGGCCAGTATGGGCCCACAGGCCCCTGGCTATGATAGATGGGGTGAAATTTTGAGCACAACTTTCAAAGATAAGATTTTCCCAGAATCCGACGATCAATCAGGTTTAATTTATTTATTATTAAAAGAAAAAGAAAAATGGGGAAATAAAATTTACGTGGAGGGTGAATATTACTTTGAGGGGTATTGGATGGAAATTGTTGGTAGACTTGATAATATTACAGAAAGGTACAATGAAATTGAGAAGAGGGTGCGCAGGTTAAGGAGGCGCCATGCTGAGAAGGTGAGTGAGAGTAATATTCCGGTGTGGGAGGAGTACCTAAAGGATGCTGGGTTTGGGCGAGAGGGTTGGCGCAGACCGTTCATCACACACTTCACTGGGTGTCAACCCTGCAGTGGGGACCACAACAAGATGTATTCTGGTCAGACTTGCTTTGATGCCATGCAGAAGGCTTTGGCTTTTGCTGATAATCAGGTGCTTAGGAATTATGGGTTTATGCACCCGGATCTACTGGATCCTTCCACAGTGAATCCTGTGCTGTTCGATTATCCTGCATGAGAGTTCAGGAATGGTAAGCTGGGTAATATTTGTTAGTTTCAGCAAATGTACTTTGGAATTTTGTTTGCCTGTCTTACGTACGTATATACAATTTGTCAAAGTTATGATATATACGAATTATCGTGATCGAATAGTAGCTGACAGTGTCGACGAATAAGACAGAGAAATTAAAATTATGTCCAAATACTGTGAGTCTTGAAAGCTATGAGTCATAGATGCAGACACCACGATTAGTCGTGTAATGAAAATAACAGGATGACTGTGTAAAAAAATATCATCGGGATAAAATTGCCAATTCAGGGTGAAAAGTTTTTAATTTAACTTTCTTGGAATGCCCCTCAAATTCAAATTATTGTTGCTTTTCTGCCCTTTACTCTTTTTTGCATGCTAAAAGGCTTACAAGCATATCATAAATTTGGGATATAAAAGTTGCACGATTGACGGAGGCCAATGGGTGAATATTCCATCATATTGCATGCTTTTGCTTTACATAACTATAAGGTCCCGTTTGATTGCAAATTTTTGCCGTTTGATTACAAAGTGAAAATTGAAATCGAATTTCAATGTACAACCATTTTACGCTGCATTTTCTTTGTTTTCATAGAAAACAAATTTCCGTGGATTTTGTGAGTTTTTATTTTCTTTAGTTTCCTATGTAGCATGTAGGGTTGAAAAAATATATGGTCATCTTAAAAATTTAAAATTTTCATCCTTTTTAATATTTTTGTCTCAATGCAAGTACTATAACTACGTTGGATAAAACAACTCTGACAATCTTAAACTAATTCAAGTGATATATTTCATTATTTCTCTAGCAAATCAACCATGTACTCACAAGTTCGAAAGTATTGTAACTACTTTAAACAATAAGGAAAATATTTTTTGTACATCATCATTTACAGATTGACGAGTTGATAAAAAGAAAGTGGTGGAATTTTATTTTTTTAAGAAAAAAACTTATTGTACAGTGTTTAGAGAGCTGTAAAATTAATTAGTAGTTCTCACACTAATTAGAGTGGGCTGTAAATGTAATAGAATTCTTTTTTTAATTGGTTGGTGAAACTTCACATCGGCAATGACACTATAACCTCTGCCTAATCAGTTCTGTGTCTCATATAAAGTTACATAAACTTCCCAAACAAAGAGGAATCTAATTATTCTACCAAACACAAGTACGGGTAATACACAGTGAACTTTGGATGGATGAAGTACGACTGGAAATGAAGACGTCAAAGGATGTCGTCCTCAATGCCTTCTACTACTTAAAAAGTTAAAAGACAGGGATAGTGTATAGAACATGCTTTGGATTGTACGACTACATGATTTGGGTCAAAATACATGGCCTGTTATAAATTTCTATTCAGACTATACGAGCGTGGTGCCACATTAAAACATTTCATCAATCACTACCAATTGAGTGTGTGTGTCAAATGGAAAAATTGTTGTAACTACGAAGAAATAATGAAATATATTTAGTACCGTGGGGATTTTTCATTTTTTCTGTTAGATTCGGCTAGGATTGAGAACATGGTTCTTGTTCTGAACTTGTCATGAATTTTATTTTTATGTTTAGATATAAAAGTTATTTAAAAATTAAATAAATAAGGAAGTTATTTTAATCCCGTTCTTGCCTTGCTTCGCATCATCTACCTTCGATGATCATTGGCGGACGAGTTATGGGAAAGACCATCATCTACCTAAATTCCACATTAGATATTAACGACTAACGAGTGTTTGAAATTCTTAAAATTATAGACGACATTTCACAAGTCTTACAAAAAAAGAATCAGGATATTTAGAATACTATGAGGTTATTGAATTTGTGTAAATATGCATTGAAAGACATGAAAGACGATGGTTGAGATAATTTGTTAAGTAGGGTGATTAGGTTTTATCTTGGTAGACATATTTTAGTGTCCAATATAGAGGACATTGTAGTATTGAAAGGTTGACCTAGGCGTGAAGCTCAGCATGTGACTTATTATTATCGCTTTTATGTTGATTTGTATTGTCATGTGATAGACTTAATCTTGCAATAGTTGAATGATCGTTTTCCAGAGACAACTATTGAGCTCCATACTTTGCAGCTTTTGATAGGGCTAAATTGCTATGTCTTGCTCAGTTCTATCATTTGGACTTCAATACTGAAGAGTTTTTATTACTTTGACCTCGACCTTACAAGTTTCTTATGCTTGCTAGTGAGAATGGACAGAATAGCATAACTTGTGTAGCTCAGAAGTTGGTTGAAACAAGAAGTTCTTGTTATTTTCCATTGGTTTATAGATCACCTTGTTTATGATATTACTCGTGGCAACTGCAAGTTTTGAAAGGGTATTATTTACTACGAATCTAATCAAGAGTGACTTGCGCAACACAATGGGAGACGACTGGTTGAATGACAATTTGGTGGTATACATTGAATGATTGTTTTTCCGAGACAACTACTGAGCTCATAACTTGTATTTCGTGTTTAAATCCAAAAGATTCATTTGCAGCTTTTGATATGGATAAATTGTTACGTCTTGCTCAATTCTATTATTTGGACTTCAATAATGAAGAGATTTTATTACTTCGGCTTCAACTTGACAAGTTTCTTATGTTTGTGAGAATGAATGAAACTTTCTTTAACCTCAATAGCATTTCTTGTGTAGCTCAAAAGTTGGTTGAAACAAGAAATTCTTATTATTTTCCATTCACATTCATTTAATTAATATTAATTAGAATTTTAAGGTTAAAAATACAATTCATTATTCACGTTCATATATGCTAATTAGCATCCAATTTCACTTAATTGAAAATTAAATTATATTTATTTAATATAAATAATTTAATGTTTGTTGTCACATATATTCCTTGCTATTAATATTCACGTTAATTCATATATCGTATTTCTCATTCATCTTTATTTGTGCATTTAGTTGTAATTCTTATACTTACATTCAGGTGTGCATTTCACTATTTAAGTGTATGTATAATAATTAATATTTATTTTTATATGTAGATCAAAAATATAAATGAGGGGTCTAATGTTACTTTCACATCACTTATAAAACATTTCAGAAATAATTACACGTTTAACTCTGACTAATACGTGTAAAATGTAAAAGCACAATTGGTTGATGATATGATGGTTTTGATAATGATAGTTGATCTTTTGTACTGTGTGGGGTAGGGGGTATTTGGAAGGAAATGGAGGGAAGCCATCTTACATTTATGATTGTGTTGGGTTATGGAATCCTTGGTTTTTGGCCTTTTTGTTATCAATCACTGTTGACATATAAAAGTGTAGTCCAAATCAAATAGTTCAAGGGATGAAATCCAATCAGGAAGTCCAGGATGAAGTCCAGTTAGGAACATTAACGAATGCAGTGGAGGCCCACGAGCAAGGTACCATCATCGCCCAAACTTGCAAGACGCCTAAGATCTGAGCGAGTGAAGTACCTTAAGATCGCCTAGAGCGAATGAACCTATTCTCGCCCAAAATTTCGAATCGCCCAGGATATTAGCAAATATAAGATATTATGGTTATCCAGAACATCAGTTACTAAAGCAGTTATTGAGCAATCTCATCATACTCCACGATCCAATGATTCCAGTTGTAGGTGGTTAAACGATAAGAGTAATGACAACAGTTAAAGACGGCGTTCCACGACAAATCAGCCATCATGAAGAAAGTGGGTAGTTATAGAGCAACCAAACAGTTTCCAAACAGATTGTCATGAAGAAATTCTCAAGGAAGTATAAAAAAGAGAGAAGACATAGAGAAGAGGACCTCAAATCAAACACTCTCAAATAGAGAATATATAATTTCAATTTCTTATATTAACTTTGAATTATCCATTTTCAGTACTCTTGTGCTGCGCTCCTTGGGGGCATTATGTTTATTTCAAATTGTAACTTTCATAAATAAAGCACCCCTTTTTGAGACTTTGTCTCAAGAGGTTTGTCCCTTACACAATCGTCTTATCCCTTTTTTAATTGTTAGCGACAATTCGCGCGCACCAATCATGTTACATATACAATATCTCTTACACTTTTTTTTACACTCTTCTACATGATAAAATCTACACTTTTAAATTTTAAATTCACATATGACATCACTACACATATTTATTTCATATAGGAGGAATGCCAACCATATGCAAGGGAGGATGTACATTAAACATTATTCTTTTGTTATTAAATTTACAACTTACTTTTGCCAAAAGAATAATGACATGTGTACATTTTGGTTGACAATAATATTATAAGATATGAGAATTAAAAAAAATATATGAATGACCTTTTGATTCAAATGAAAATAAAATTAGTATTAAAATAAATATGATGATTTTGCACTACAACAAAATTGTGATTTCGCGACAAGATTTTTCGCGACATACAAAAAGTTGTTGCAATAAGTGACTTAACGCGGCACATTTTTT